TATATATATATATATATATATATATATATTATGTACTATAATAGTTTGTACAAAATAACCAAAATGAAAACAAAAAGGAAAAAAAACTAACAACCAACGAGAATTTAGGATTTAGGAAGACTCAAAGAGAATAAAACCAACAAATTTAATTAAATCAAATATGAATAAGATTAACTGAGACTAAAAAAGTTTGCAAAATTATTGGAATTAAAATGTTTTATATACATATTACTACCCAATTTCTATGTATTTACATATCTAGCACCTAAAGTTTACCTTTTTTTACATTTATAACACCCGTCTTTAATTCCCAAGTTCATCTTATATCAACCATGAATAAGAATGATTGAGAGTAGAAATTTATGCTAAATTAATGGAAATAAAATGTGTTAGGAACATGCATACCACCCAATTCTTTCGTATTTATGTATCTAGCACCTAAAGTGATATGTATCTAAATCTTCTAATGTTTAGTAAATGATATTCCCTTCAACAAGCCAATGATCATTTTATATTTTAAGGGGAAAAAAAGTGAAAATAATATTTAAAGCACTTGATCAAATTCTATTGAGCATGAACCTTGCTATGAAAATAACACACGCAACTCCCAACTCTAGCTTTTGCAGCCTGCAGACATTATTACAACTCACCACCATGACCTACATGACCAACTACCGTCTATGTAGTCTACAAATGTTGGTCGTGGTGGTGAGTTGTAATAAGATTAACATCGTCAAGGATCCCCTACTACTACATTCTTGATGGATTATCCTTTTGACTTTATTCAATATAGATTAACATCGTCAAGCATCTCCTACTATGTAACCAAAGACATATATTAAATCTTTAATGAAATATCTTTTTGAACATATTTCAAAATAGGTTAACTTCGTCTAACATCTCCAATTATACGACCTCAACCGAGTCTTACATCCCAAATGGGTTCTTCTTTATACTATGTCCCAATACAAATCAATGTCGTTGAACATCATCGGCCATACGACTTAGGATGGATCTTACATCCTTGGTAGACTTTCCTTTCATCTTTATTCCAATAAATTAACATTGTCGAGCATCTTCACTCATACAACCTAAGGCAATTCTTATATCCCTCGTGGATTACAATTGATTTGATGCATCCTGACTAAGTAGGCTAGAAAAAGTCAAATATTCATAGCAGCAAACACAATATCCAATCAAAAATCACTAGAAAGCGTGCACGTGAGAAAGTCTCGATAAGAAGCTAGTAGTGGGAAGCTCCTTCTGGACTTCCATTTTTGGGTAGCATCCATTGGAAGGAGGAACATAAGGCTAAGTTTGAGTGAGCTTAGATTGCTTGGTGAGGTGGTTAGATTAGCTAGTTTGGCTGGGTAAGGGCGAAAGATAGCTTGCCACATGGAGAAGGGCTAGGTTTAGCATGGTCTTGGCCAAGGAAAGATGGTTTTGCTAGCTTTGAATGCCTTGAGTTTGGTCTGTGATTAGCTTGAGTTTAGTTGGCTTGGAAGGAGCCAAAGATAACTTGAAGGTGATGCCATGGTGAGCTTAAGGTGGCTTGAGCTTGTCTTGAAATTGGGAGTGGCATGGAATAAGTGTAGGGCGCTTAAATGGAGGCTCATTTGTGCTGGTTTTGAGTGGATTGGAATTGAATTGAAATGAGTTCGATCGGTTTTGAACTGGGTGGAGGTCTACTTAGGATTGAGGCCAATAAGGTTATGACACATATTATGTGATGGAGAATGGAAGATGCTTATGAAATGAGTTTGGTGTTGGATGTATTTTGGGTTAAGAAGGGAATATGTAGAGTGATTTAGTGTTGAGTTTGTAAAGTGTGGTGAGTATGTGAAGTGATTTTATGATAGAAGAAAGGGAATAAGTTTGGGCAAGACTTTTGAGTGGAAAATATGATCGGTTAGCTTTTGGGATAAAATGGATTTAATTTATTATTATTATTTATTTAAACAAATTTATTAAAATTTTGACAAGGAATAATTGTGTGGAATAGAATTTTTTTTTGTGAACATATCTAAGTTGATAGTGTTTATGATTTTTTATTATTTGATTTAAATTTATATTTGAATTGAGATTGATTGGGTCCTTTTATTTCAATTAATTATGATTTCAATTATTTTCAATTTGTTTATCAAACAATGGATTTTTATCATGTTTAGTTATAGCTTTGAATTTTGATAAGTTAGATTTTATTTTATTTCAATTTCATCAATTTTATAATTTTATGTTTAAATTTTGAATTTTAACATGTCGAATTCCATTTCATCTAATTGTTGGTTTTGATTGTTATCATATTATTATTTTTCTTTCTATCTCTCTTTTAAGATGAATTTAATCATGCTTCAACGTGAACACCATACTAAATGTGCTCTCTTTAAACCAAAGAATGAACTATTAAAGGAGTTTGAAGAAAAATTTAATGTAGTTCAAGGAAAACTAGGTCAAAGCCCTAAGTTTATAAGATCAAATAGTATTTTAAAGGTATTTCCAAGCATACCTGAGCTTACCTTAAACTTTAATCAACTCAACAAAATGTCAATGATTTGAAATTAAGTACATGAAACTAAAAGAGTTGAAGATTTTGTATGAAGTGCTAGTTTAGGGTTTGGATCAATCAAAAGTCCACTAGAAAAGCCTCCTAAAAATATATAAGGCTAACTCTTAAGTTATGTGGAGAAAGAGCAAGATATGCCTCATGTAAAAATGAGGTCTCTAATGCTCCACTAAAAAAATTAATAGCATTCACATTTTTATCATCAAAGATAATATCCTTATATTTAAGCATTCAGAGTTCCAAAATATTTTTGAGTGAAGAATGATCCGGAACTTCATATGAGCATTTTTCTTATGAAAAAAATGCTATTTTGTAACAATTGCAAGACCCCCCGTCTCATATTTGATGATCAATCTTGTGCTAGCTAGATGGGAATGAAGTATGGCTCCATCAATAATCGTCTTGATCCAGTTAGGAGGCTGACACAAAGAAGATGGGTGAGACAACCTAAAGGACTAGCTAATGTCTTGGTTCTCATAAATAGGGAAGGAGTTGTTAATGTCTATGATGCATGAAGATACAAACATGACATGATATAAAGATATGAAACTTCCATTATTAAAAATATAGGATATGAAGACTTGTCATATATAACATTACAATACACTTTAAAAAATAGATAAAAATAAATAAACAAAACATTAAGACCAGTAAAGAACAAATAATAAGAAAGTTCTTTTTTATATGTAGATAATAAGAAAGTTAATGGCATTAGCTTTTAAAAGATAAGAGGCCTATATATATTGTTTGGATATGATATTTGTATACTTAATATCTAAGTTTTACTTTTTTATATTTATACCACCCAAAATTTTCATATCACATGAACAACTTTTGACTTAAATGTGACGTACATATATATTGTAAAAATTGAAGTTTAGGTTCTAGATACAATATTAAATAGAAATTGAGTGGTATGTACATCTTGCAAACTGAGTTGAGTGAACGAGTTAATTGGGTCTAACCATGATCAAATGCATTGAAAATGGTTGTACATTGGAAAAAACGTTTACATAAATCTTGAGTAAATTCAATAGACAAAAGGTATGAAGGAAGAGGGCTCACAGACAGAAAAATAAGGGCCCGTAGGAGAAAGACTACGGCTCCGTCAGTGGAGGACTAAGGGTCTATCTGCAAAAGACTAAGAGTCCATCAGTAGAAGGCCAAGCGTCCACCGGCGGATAACTGAAAGACGTATTTGACCAATTGCAGCCCTTCTAATCCAGGGTTGAAAGCCAACCGAGCAAAGGTTGCCTGAAACAAAAACTAAAACCCATCATGCAGAGTGAAGACTCCAATCTTTGTCTTGTCAAAATACGACTAAGGGAAGAAACCTACGTCACCATTTGTCCCATGAACGACCCTGAGATTCCTCATCCAAGGTCAAGGACTAATCACCACATAAACACACAAAGTACATCGAAAGATCACATAGTTAAGGAGCGATATATCTGTAGAATTATGATGATTCACCTCAGCCCGATGGTCAAGCCTCATTTTGTCTATAAGAGTTTCTTATATAGGGTCTGGAGACCAACATATCTGACATACCAAACTGAGCCGATTGAGTCAAGTCTCATAAGATCCAAAGACCACCAAGAGTCAAACATCAATCACCCGATTTAGCATAGTCGGCGAATAGGGCTTGCTGATCCAGGATCGACTGTCCTTTGCCGACCGAGTCAGTGGATGGTCGATTCGAAGGCCTATATATATAAAATACTTGACATACTTGCAACGCTCCCATTAAAGCATGAACGAATATGTAATTTTATATCTTGTGCCACATTTCTTCTATAAATACGTGAATCATTTTCTCATAAAAGACAGTGCATTCCTCTCTTTCTCTCTCTCCCTCCTATCTTATGCTCTAATCCTTGGTTGTGATTCTCTTACAGAGATGGATTCAAGAATGAGTTTAATTTGAGTTATATTTTCTTACACATTTAATAAATATGTAGATCATAAAATATCAAATTAGATTAAAGGGGGTGTTTGGTAGCCCTCTTTTAAGATGATTCATATTAAGATTTAATGTAACTCTATCAAATGCAAAAAATAGTGAGTAAAATCTGAAATTTGGCTAAATGCATTATCTTCTCCCCCATAACATGAATCCCAGTTTTTTTTTAAAATTCAATGAATAATTGGATTTTACGGATTTAATGATGAAGGCTTCTCTCGTCGAACGAGAGGAGAAGGCGATCACCAAACATTACGAAGGGATTTAACTAGATTCAACTTAAAGTACACCAAATAACATCTCGATTAAATACATATCAACAAGATTTACTCAATCATATTTAACTTTAATCTTCAGTTGAGCCAAACACTCCCTACGTTGAGATAAAACCAAACTTAGTCGGTATTTGGTTTCAACCTGTATTTATGTTAGATAAGATTTATAAAATCCAACAAATCTGATAAATCTGTGTGATGGTGATGGAGATGGAGCTCGCGATTCATGATGGAATAACAAAACGCTAGAAAAAAAATGGACTTTGAAAATATTTGATTTAAAAAAAAATAATGAATTTATTATTATCATTATTTTATTATGTTTAGTTGGATTTAAGAGTTAGTTTGAATCAACGACTTTTTTTCTTTTCGTTGAAGAAAACACATTACAGAACGCCTGACATTTTGTCATTTTGAGTTCGTGAAGAGAAGGAAATAACCAAAATGCCTAAACAAAGTGAGTCTGAGAATTTTTTCTGTAAAAAAAATTTAAACAAAATTATTATTAAAATCGTTGTTTGTTAATTAAAAATATTACAAACATTTTAATTTTTTTTATTAAAAAATTACGTAAAAAAATGCCTAAAAATTTCTCTATGTAAATTAGAATATCATTTTAATAACCATTGTTATATCTCATTGTTTTTCTTAAAGTTGCTCTTTCAAATAATTTTCGTAGAAGGAGATAATTACTCAAATAAAAATTAAGTTAAATTATGATTAAATTTTATTGAAAATATTGCCAAGAAACACCCCTCAATAAATTAATTCAAATGGGCATAGACTAGAGCGCTATTTACGTACTCCACCAAATAACATTCTAATAACTCAGCAATAAACCCCAAAAACATATCGATACATTTATAATTCTGCGCACATATTTTTTGCTGTTATTCGAATGTTTTGTAGGTTATTGGGGGTATTAACCCCAATAACACTGATATAAACCTTCAATACCAGCCGAATAATCTCTATAAGCAAATATAACTACTTTAAGAAGCATTAATAATAATAATAATAGCATCGGCACCGTTGACGTAGGTGCGCACGTCATATTTTTTCCAGCAGAACGAACACCGCTGATTACATCGGACACGCGTCTCCCTTGAAGTCCAGAAATGCTGTCGAAGTAAGCGTTGGGCCGAGGCTTTACAACAGAAAGGGGCTCTTCACCCATATCTTCTCCGAGCAAGGTGAAGAAGAAGCTCGTCGGAACCCTAGTTCTAATTCGTCTCTGCGGTAAGGCTTCCGCGGGATTTAATCCACTATTTATAATTGTTTTTTCTGGTTGAAATTCTTTTCATTGATTAACTTTTCAACAATAGTCCCACCGATGAGTATGCGCTATTCTGAAATCCATTGCTTCATTCGGGCTACATATGCAATACTTACTATTATCGTCTTCTTACAAAGGGCTTTATTTAAACGTTGAATTGGAAGTATAGCTAAATATGTTATAGCCATTAAAAATATAGGACATATCATCTTCAGTTCTTTCCAAATGAACTCGGAGTACCTGATTAGGAATGTATTGATGTGCCTGGAAGAAAATAATAGATTGTATGTGGTAAAGGTATAGGCATATGATGGGGGTGTTTGGTAGCACAAAGGATTTAGCTTAAATAGGATTTAGTAAGTCCGGTAAATCCGGATTTATGAAATCTAGGGGCTGTTAAATCCAGTTGACATGTTTGTCATCTTATTTCGGGATTTAACAGCATTGGTTTTAAGCCGCTTAAGTCCATCAAAAAATAGATACATCCACATGCTCTATACGAATCACAAAAGGAGACAGTGGTTACCTGTGAAAGCGTGGGCCATCCAAACTGCTCCATTGATATGACATGAGAAAAACGCCATAGACAAGAAAAAAAACATCTTCAATGTAGAATTTAATCCTCATCAATTGATCACAGAAAGTGAGAGAGAGATAGAGAGAGAGAAAGAGAGAGAGATAGATTCATATAATCAAAGAGAAATCAATTAAGTAATTCAATAATATTCCAGAAATTGCAAGTAGAGAATTTTTTTAAAATGAAGTTTCCTTTACTTGCAAAAGAAATTCCAAATAGTTTAATGTTGGAAATGCACTAAATGTAGGATTACTCATTTGGAATAGCAGAATCAAAATTGAACAATCTTAACATTCAATCATTACACCACATTTCAGTAGCAAATAAAGGAAAAATTGGGTGAAAATATTTACAGGAATTTGGTTATACGAGGGCAAAGTAAATGTTAAGGAGCATTTACGAATACCACACAATTCATATGTTTTTATATGTCTAACAACAAAATCATCATATTTATAGGCATCACACTCAAATCTTTAATATTACATAAAAAAATTCCAATATTACTAACTTTTCTAAAATAGAAAAAAACACCTTTTCATGCACAAGTTTATGCCACCGAAGTCTCTACACATAAATATGTAAGAATTGTGTAATATATATTCAAAATTCACAAATTTTGATTAATTAAACACCACAAAATCAGTACGGCTTAAATAAATCAGATATAATAGTTTTAGTTTGGCTCGAAATTTACCCGTGGCTCGTTAAATCATACAATAGGCCCATTGCATTCCTCCAATTGAACCAACCGAGTTGAATTCTACTAATAATACCCCTATCTATATCACCATTAAGCACAAAATAAATAACTTCATATGCCACATAATATGATATTCCCACAATATGTTCATTTGTGGAAACATACAACTACTTTAAGATGGCCTCTAATAATCAGAGCTGCATGCTAAAGTTCAAGCCCTCTAAAACTGCTCTGAAACCAAATCTGAATACAATTTGATAGGAGACAGGTTTGAACCTTCACCTTATTAATTAAAGCTCATCTAGCACCCTAACTAAACTCCTTTGAGATATTAAAAATATGTTTTATAGAAAAAAGGGAAAAAAGAAATTGGCTCGGATTCATTATCATTCAATCAACAGGCATATCCAACCACCAATTCTCAATTAGTGACAATGGAAATAGGGGTTACCCACAATAGATGCGCAGGCCATCCAAGCTACTCCATTACCACTAGATGAGACTAATACACATCGCTGCATAAGCATCATATGAAGTTCTGCTCCGCCATTGGGTTGGCAAAATTGTCTTTCATGATAGATTTCATCATCACCCAATCTATAAAGAGGGAGAAGATGAAATCGAGAGATGCAGAGATTCTTGGAATTTATAGTGATGAGAATCATGGTGAGTAATTCATTAGTCACCAATGGATTGCATAGAGTTGTTGAATAGATATGGGTGGCAGAAAGAAGTAAATGAGAAGCATCTACACCGTACAATAAATGTGGGATTACACAAAAAATTGACTAAATATCATAATGATACAATCTCTGAATTTTTACTGAGATGGATGTAATAAATCCATATTTCGCCAAAATAAGGCAACCTAGAAGTGAATCAAACTTGTTCAAATTTTAAGTAATATTTAATTCCTTGTCGTATTTGTCTTCACTGAAATTTAAAAAGCAAAATAAGGCTTTCATCAAGTATGCATTCTTTAAACATGCATTTCAACAATCATTGAATGAGAATTTCATCAAGCTTAAATGACAATGTTATTGAGGATTAAAGTAACTTACTATCAAGAATTGAATGATCTTGTTCATGAGCCTTAAATGTATTGTTCATGATCATTATGAAAATGAGCATGTTATTGATAACAAAACGAACTTATACAAAATTATCCTTTGTGTCAGCTTCTCGTTTATGTTAAAAGAATATACTCATCATAATTGGACTTAGCTTAGTCGAATCATAATTTTTTTTATGTTCAGTTCGAGCATGAGCCGAGCTTTTACATATATATTCATCCTTGACTTGCTTAAATTTTAAATGAAGATTGCATAAAGAAAATAAATCCAAAAAATAAATTTCATAATAAAAACTTTCAACTCAGAAGTATAAAAAATGATTCTTGGATCTAAAGCAATAGTAGCAATAACATAACCGCTTCCCGTGACGAATGATTTTGTAGGTGATAGGGATGATTTTGGATTGTTGTATGTTCATGGAGTCATGATTGATATACATATCTTCTTTATTTTATGTTAAACAATTACTCAGCTTGATCGAGCTCTATGAGGCATTACTTAGAGTCAAAAACTTATTTTCAAATCGAATGCAATTTTTTAAATAGAAGATAATGACAACAACAAAAAATAGTAAAGCTTACACGTACTAACCATAAATTATTTACAATTGCATCTCGTACGATTTCTCCTCAAAGTTTGCATGCATACAATTGCATTTCGTCGGTGCTAGTAATCTCACATAGCTGATTATCGTGCTCCATCTCAATTTGAGATATATCAAAATATATATCATTCTCACGATAACATCCAATGAAATTGTACAAGACTGCACAAGCCATCAAAATGTTTGCTTGTACCTTAATTGGAAACTCACTTTTGTGACTTAATACTTGAAATCCTACTTTTCATATCCCGAAATTTCTTTTTACAACATTGTGTAGATGTGTGTGTCGATAATTGCACAATTCATGTGGGGTTCAGTTTTTACAGTCGTGGTTATACGGTAATTACTAAAATGATAACGATATCCTCTAAAAGGTGCCATCATCTTCTCTATATTTATATACTTCGAGTCAACCAAATAATATTTATTTTTAGGAATTGCAAACTTGCCCTGCTTTACTGACCCTTATATCAGCAACAGGGCCTTCCCATTCGGTGGCAATAAATATAAATTGGTGATCAAACATAACTACAACTATCACTTTTTGTGGCGAAAATCATTTTTTATTACGGTACCTATTTGTGCATCTCTACTAACCACTACAGGGATGTGAGTTCCATCAATTTCCCCTATATCTTTTTGAAAATATGGATAAAATTGTGCAGTTGTCCGTATAAAAGGGTCATGATTCGCTTCTGCCGGGAGTAACTTAATGAATTCTTTTCATAATATGGTAATCGCTCGTAACACATTATTGAAGTATCTACTTACTATTTCTAACGAGTACCGAAAAAATTGACAGAGTTGCCTATAACTATGAGCATGTACGACGCCTCGAAGAAAATTTCTAATTGTTCTACAACCTTCATATTCTTAGTATCAGCCAGTAGTCTTTTGTTAATCAATAAATCTCTCAATTGTATAAAAGTCCCTGTTAGAAGCCTGAAACAATTATACGACTTCGTTGGATGACTGACCAAGACACCCTGATCGTACTGACGATCGGTGTTGGATCTCTCAAACATAAGTTTTGAGATATATTCGTCATCATCCGATGAACTTTATTCATAAAAAAATAGTAGGTATCATCTCTGTTATAGCACGAGTTAACTGTAAATGTGTATCAACCATTTCTCGGATCTCATTCGGAAAAGTCCCCTTGAAAAAATGTGGCATTGCTGAATTAAGATTGACAACACATTAGTAAATGACAACAATTAAAAAGCATCTATATCTTTCATCTCATTACAATAATTACAAAACAATTGTTATATCACAAATATCTTAGTTTGGCCTGCTCCACATTGTAAGATAAAAATTTTTGCTTTGAGGGAGATAAAAACATGCATGTAAAAAATGAAGTTTAGGTGTAAGATATGTAAATGCATAAGAATTGAGTTGAATGTATGTAAATTGAACTCGTAAGAAGGGAAAATTGTGCAATACAATGAAGTTCACATAAAAACGTGCAGGCGTAAAGAGAAAACAAGGGATCTTTGCATTTTGCTCTTCTTTTTTAATTATTCACATTGTTTTTTTCTTTAGATTCGGTACTCATGACACCGTGGAGCGCCGACACTTAAGGAGCTTGATTGATGAGTTGATCAGAGTAGGAAAACTAAAGGACATTAGACTGAAGGCAAACACTAAGAGATAGGAGATAGGAGATATTTCCTGTCCCAACACATGGCATTCACATAGCGATATTCCTAACTATTCTAGGTGGAGACCAGTTAGAGGATTTTCCCCGGTCGAGCCTCAAATGATTTTGATTGCACGAGATAAATTGGGCGAGCTCATTCCAATCACTGGTAAATGGACAACCACTCGACTCCTTCATAGACGTTGATCTGCCTGTAAAAAGAACTTTTATAATGTCGATGCATGATCATGATGCTGATCGCAAATTACCAAATTGCAACATCCTCTTAGGCACGAGGAGTTAATGAATATCCTTTTTAAAAGTATCTATGTCAAGATAAATTTGGGGACTTGACGCCTTACTCCTATCTTAGGCTCTTGTTCGGTTTCTCTAAAGAATGGAAGGAAGCGGTAAGAGTTATTGTTCTGCCCATCGCTTGGGAGAAATTAATAAGTAGTTCACAACCTTGCTCGACTTCGTCGTAGTCGACGCTCTAGCAATCTACACATCCATCTTTGGCCCCCCTCTGTTGAGCATTTTTAGAACGATAGTAACAACCTACCACTTTATAGTCAAATTCCTAATAGGTGGAGAGTTGATCATTATCTGAGGAGACCGAAGTAATATACAAGAGGAAATTTTGCAACTTGATGCTTATAGAGGAAGCGGCCTGGAGATGAATGAGATTATCAAGGAAGTTTCAACTGTGGAAGAAGAATTAGGAAGAACCATTCAGTTTTGCATAACCTTTGATGCTTAACAAAGATAATAATTGATTGCAACTTTTTGCGAGTACAAAGATATATTCGCTTAGATGGTTGATGAGATACCAGGGGTCAATATTGATGTTGCGTGACATATACTCAATGTTGGCAAGGTTGACTCAAGAGTTCAGCCTATCAAACAGAGGATGATGCTAGTCTCTATGACACACTGAACCTATCCGCTAAGAGGTATAGAAGCTGCTCGACATAGGTTTCATTCATGTGAGAAGTCTTATAGCTAGAGTGGGTCGTCTATTTGGTGATGGTGCGTAAGTTCAATGACAAGGGGTAGATGTGTGTTGACTTCACAAATTAAACTTAACTTACACGAAGGACAATTATTCATTGAAACAGATAGATGCACTTGTTGACTGTGTTGTTGGCTACTTGGATATGAGCTTCACGGACATATTCTCCAAATATCACCCAATAAAGATGCATCTAATATATGTCTAAAAGACATCTCTCATCATAAGGATCAAAGTTTATTGTTATAATATAACGTTCTTTGTTTGAGCTTAATAATGCATGTGCAACTTATCAATGAATTATTGATACAATTTTTTCTTAAAAAAATAGTGAGATGCATGCTGATGATATATTTGTTAAGAATAAATCCCTAAAACAACATATAAATGATTTAAGATAGAACTTCAAAATGCTATAATGGTTTACAATACTTAAATTCACTCAAGTGCATCATTGAAGTTGTGTATGGAAAGTCCTTGGCTAGCTACCCTCACTATAAAGCATCAAAGCGAACCTGGAGGTAGTAGAGGTCATCTTAGACATTCTATCTCCTAGAAGCACCAAAGAAATTCAGAGGCTAATAGGTTGAATTGCTGGATTAAGCCGCTTTATATCTCTTCAAAGTTTTACGGAGATTTGACATTTTTATAGATTTTGTTTAAAGATTAGGTCATGTAGGAGGAGGAACCTAATGTGGCGACAGGCTTTGGGTGGATGTTTTGTCTTAGTGGAGTCGTTTAGGGCTTGAGAAAAATTAAGAAAACCCCTGTAAATGATGGGAAAAATTGTCTAAGTCAATTTTGAAACTTTATATATATATATATATATATATATATATATATATATTAGAGGGTTAAGTAGCTAATGAAAAAGATTAGGATAGATTCGGTTGACCACTTGAAGGTGGGTTTTGGTGGATATTTGAGAGATTTATAGAAAAATATTATAGAGAGGTAAAGGGATGAAAGTGCAATACTTCCACAAAAATAATAAAAAGAAAAAAAAATTTCAAAAAAAAAAAGGAGGAAAATGCAAGGAATGAATAGACACATCACTCACCAAAACAATAGGATGGTGGAAGATCATCCAATCTCTGCCTTTTCTAAATATTTGATGAAAATTCAAAATTTTTCTCAACAATCATCCATATTCATTTAGCCAATAATAATAAATAAGTAGGTCGTTGCACAATTCCTAATTATATTACTAAAAGAGAGAAAAAAGAGGGAAGGAGGCCTCTTAGGCCTCTTGTTTATAATGGAGGGAGGGGGGTTGGCCCCAATAGCTGTGGAAGCTTAAAAAATTATTAAAAAATTATTAATTATTTGCATAAACATGCTGTCAATTACTACACATTTTTGCTGAATTTTCTTAAAAAATTAAAAAATTTAAACACCTTTCAAAAATTTTTAGATAAACTTACATTAAAAACATAAATATAGCTTTTGCAAAATAAAATAAAATTAGACTTCTTGTTAGATTAAGTCTTCTTCATGAATAGATCTGCGAGGAGTAAAAGAAGATAAATATTTCATTTTTCTACTGCCTAAGATTACTTACAAACCCCCAATAAATGGAAGGTGTAAATCAGTCAATTTAAACTCTATACCTTTTCTTTTGGCATGTCTATGCCTTTGATTATGTGTTTGAATTTAGTTTAAGTGATTAAATGTTGCAGTTTGTTAATGTTTAATTGATGGAGCTCGTAACTAATGACTTCTTTCTATTTTCTGGTAACAGTGGCTAATGGGTGGTTCAAGATGCATGAAGATAAGAATAATGTTGTGTTCTCGGATAAAAATTTCACCATTGATGAGGAGATCTCTCAGCTTACTAAGCTCAGAACAGAACCCACTGAAAACATGCGGAGGGCAACATATCCCAGGCAAAAGCTACCTATCCCAATAGTTAGAATGCTATCTGGGAGAGAAGCCATGGGTAGATTTGCCTTAGCTGATTGCTCTTATGCTCTTGGGCGGTATTTACCTGCCAATGGTCCCTGGTTTATTGATAGTATGGATTCACGAGCATATGTCTCTCAGTTCTCTGATGATGGTTCACTGCTAGTTGCGGGATTTCAGGTATTATGATCTTATTATGATTTTTTTTTAAGTTTTATGTGTAATATACTTATTCTGATTATCCTTTTGTCTACAGTTAGAACTTAAAGGATGTGTGATATCATGTTTAACATTACCGCATGATATTATCTTTTAGGGAAGTGATATTAGAGTATATGATGTGGAGAATCATTGGAAAGTGCTGAAAAATATTGCAGCAAAAAGTTTACACTGGACGATTACTGATACATCACTTTCACCTAATAAACGCCTTCTTGTAAGTTTTACCTTTTCATCAGTTATTTAATTTTATTTTCCACATGCTGGCTTTTGCTAGACCAATGTTAGGCTTTTCCTAGCAAAGTTCATCATCTTTTGTGTTTAACATGCTTAAAGATGCCATTATGTCATTATTTCGATAGTTTGACATGTTCTTCTATTCTATTTTACAAGCAAGTCCATCATTGCTACTTTCCTGAGATGTTACTTCCTTGAGATGTTGAACTAGGCTACCAACAGCCTTGTAAGCTATATCTTAAATAAAATTTAATTGTCTATCTATTGAATGATAACTAGGAGCTTAGGCGTATCAAGTTGTTTTTCTTGTAGATGTTTGACTTGGCATTTGTGGATCACAAATTTGACCCATATAACTTGATTTGCACTATATACGGTGGAGCACTATTGGTTGCTGATTCATTTTAAGCCAGACAAGCATTTGATAAAAAACATCAAGACATTGCAAACAAATAAAACAAGGAAAAGAATTTAAATGAAAATATATTGATCTCTAACAATGTCATTTCTCTATAACCTACCAAACATTGGAGCAATTAAAAAAAATTCTGTTAAAAAATATTCCAAATATACAATATAAGGGGAAAATAGAATTTTACAAAACCATAATTAAGTTAATTATGATGCATGAATCTAAGTACGAGCAATAAATAAATTATTGATAAAAAAATTAATCATGAAAGAGCTAAGACATGAAGATAAATATATAGCAAAATTAAGAAGCCTGCACCGTGGTATGGTTACATCTAGAAAATGATGAGAACAACAACTAATACAAATAAGAAATGGGAAAATAAACTTTGGTGATTTAGAAATGAATTACAAAAGTACAAGCTGTACCAATATCATGGGGGGATAAAATTGATGTGGAAGAACGACAAAAAACATGTGGAAAAAAAAATGCAAAATAGTTTTATGGCACCTTATGTGGCATTAAACAAGAAAAAAATGGAGAATAAAAATTTATCAGGTTGATTGTATAGTTGAGATAAGAATGATGACTTTTGACCGTAAGGATGATCATCACTAATCAATAGAGTTGAATTTAAATTTATCAAAAAATTGATAGATTTCACATCACTTTAAAATAAATAAATATTTGCTAGCAAAAAGTTATCCCTGACCATTGTAATTATGCCAACTATGTTGTATGGATCCCAAAATTGGACTATAAATAAATCATAGATAAACAAATTGAGCTTGAAAAGGACTAAGAAAGTTTGGATGGATGCACATTAGCAAAACTAGAAAGGATAAACTAAGAAATAATTACATCGATTTATCATAAGGAACAACCAATATTGAAGAACAAGATTGGGAAATAAACCTAAGTGAGTTTGAAATATATAAGAATATCACATGATAAACCAATACTATGATTGCATAAAATTAATGTAGAAGTAAGATGATAAAAAAAAAAAGGAAAAACAGAGATAACTTGGATCTAAAAACAACTGAAAAATATGCCCAAAAGTATTTTGACACCTACTATGTTACTAAACAAGTATACATGGAGACAGGGAATCAATAAAATTAATTTTATAACAAGGATAAGAATGATGACTATGATGATCATCACGATGATCAATAGTGTTAAATCTAAAAGCGTAATGAAACCTGTAGATGCTCATATCGTTTCAAAATCAACAAATATCTATAGAAGGAAAAAAAAAATCTACCAATTATTATTATCAAATAAAATGACACTTATCTCTAGATTAATTTTTTTTTTAATACATCTCTAGACCTATTTAAAAGAGAAGCATATATAATAAGTTAAGTGTTGCCGAGAAGAGAATGATTAGGTGGATGAGTGGCTTACACTTAGAGACTAAATGTGAAATGAATATATCCGTGATAGGGTTGGTGTAGCTCCTGTGACGGATAAAATTAGAGAAAGTCGTCTTAGATGGTTTGGTCACATTAAACGTCGACCATCTGATGATTCTATTAGGAGAGTAGATGTTTTAGATTCGACTTGTGTTAAGAAAGGCAGAGGTAGACTAGGAAAACTTGGGCTTATTGTATTAAAAATGATCTTAATTTACTAGAACTAAATGAAAATATGACACTAAATAGGACGCAATGGAGAAAAAGTATTCATGTAGCCGACCCCACGTAGTGGGATTAAGGCTTTGTTGTTTTTGTTGTTGTTGTTGTTGTTGTACATCTCTAGACCTATTTCTAAGTAACTTATTAAGAAAAAAATGATCAAAACTCATTACCAAATATGTTTGCACCATCATGCCTACCGGGCAAATTCCATCTTAAAAATACATAAAAATATTAATCCAAGAAATACATTTCCTAATAAGTATATTGTTTAATACATCTCTAGAGACCTATTTCTAAATATAGTCAAATTTGCATAATGATCTCCATAACAAATCCTCATTAGTTTTCCACGTTAGGAGTAAAAGATCAGGTCACAAGCTTGAACTGCTAATAAAAGACATTCAATAGACAAATCTAGCATCTTCAACGCCTTTCTAGATGAACCCTGTTGCACTCCTTTCCTTAAAACGAGCATACTTCAAAAATTACAAACGACTGTGTCCTAACTAACATTCATCAAAATAGTGTAGTTATTCATTGTTTATCAAATTTTTGAAAGGAATTCAGTAGGAAATTTTTTCAGTATTTTGTTGATGAATGCAATAAAAAAGTTTAGAATGAAATAAATTCAACCTCATTTAGGCTCATCAAAGAAATATGTTATCCAAAGACATAACCAAAAGAGAAATAGAAAATTCGGCAAAGTACTTCTAGAGTTGGAGTATTAAAATCAGAACAATGAACCTAAAATGTTTTGTCTCAACCGAAAGTGCTTTCCTAAGATAAAACAATAAACTGTAAGCTTGAAAAAACTACATTTTATTGGATCATTATTTAAAATTGAAGGGATCTACAAGCCACCAACAACCATTGAACACTATTTACGATTGATGTGTAACATTACTTTTTACAGAAATAAGCAAACTTGTGTATGCGGTTGGAAGATGATAAACAGAAGAACAATAACTATTATTGGGCAACAGAGCTGCAATAAAATTTGTGACTCGAAAGAATAAAATAGCAGACATGCTAACCTTTTTTTCGAAGTAAAAAAAAAGTAGACGACGTGCTAACCTTTTCTTTGAAATCGAGGATGGGGCAGTGTTTGACAGAGGGAAAAAAAGGCAAGTTGGTAGGACCAGTGACTTAAACACGTCGACTTCCTCCCCTAAGTAGGGCTTCGGGGCACTGTGCGATGAGAGTAGCTTTGTGGGCACCGTAGCTCTCTCCTTTATTTTCTTACATAATTCGTTAAATCTGCTGAATCTGCAGATTTAGTAAATCCGGGATTTATATCGAAACGGTGAGAATTTCGGATTTATGGGAGGCTGGGATTTAACATCCCTCATATTTGCGTTCAGCTGGATTTAGGTTAAATATTGGGCCAAAACCTCTTAGAAGTGTGCTACCAAGCACCCCCCTACGGTTGATAAGGTAATGGCCGACTTATAGATAGTTATATTCCTTTATGAACTCTATAGAAAGCAACTAGAACTTCCCTGAGGAGATACATTTATATAGATTTTTTCTATTGAAAAAAATTTCTTTGCCACTTGTACTTCTTTGAAGTAGTGATTTTGTTGTTTCAGTTCTGCATATGTTTGAAATTTAGCATGTAATTTAAATCTAGTATGGTTCTTGTATGGTCTTGAATTCTTGTGATTAGTTATTCCTTGGAGATCAATTGCTGATTCACGTTGATTTGAGTTCTTTAATTTGCTGTTGACCAATTTAAGTGGCATATAACTGCTTGTGTTAATTAGTTTGCTTGGTCATGAATCACTGCTATTTCATTTTTCCTATTTATTTGCATTTGTAGATTGCGCCTTCATTGCGAAACCTATGAACGTTTCTTATCATATTTTATTTTGCCATACATCGCATTTTAAACCATTACATCTCAGTAAGGAATCTTATATTAATTTCTTCCTATGCTAATCCAATTCCCCTTCATGTCCTATACTCAACACTTCAGTGCCTTCTAGCATGGTCCATTTCCTACATAGCTCTTGCGTCTTTGTGCGAGGCACACTTTGTGCTCCTCACATTGCGCTGAGTCCCTTGCGACCTCTTGTGGTTTATGCCTGGCTATTGTGTCTTCTCACTAAGGTTGATGTCTTTTGGCATCGATGTCAATTTGTCCTTTGAGCTCATGTTTCTCTTGACCTCATTTCATCCACTATCTCGACAGTTAGGGAAACGGCCTTGTTGTTCTAATTAGGTTTTTTCCTTTCTCTTGTGGCATATGAATTCCTGTTCCTTCTTTATTATTTGGCATTGCGCCTTTCAATTCCTCTCGTGGTAGCCTCTCAATCCATCTTTCCATCCTATTTGAACTCCATCACCTGCTCATCTGGTGATCCTGCATTGTGATGCCTTCTCTTTGATTGCTCCTATACTTAGGTTATCAACGACCATTTGTTTGCTCCTAAACTTCATATATTTTCAACATCCTTATACTAAACATTTCCTTTAATTTTTTTTTTTTTGCAAGATTGATATTCTCTTCAACAGAATATGCCATCCACTTCTCATTACAAACTCACGCTTATTTTCACTGATGATAATATTACCATGCTAGCAAGTCCACTTTGTTAAAGAAAAGTTGGCAAATTTTTTTGGGCCATCATAATTTGGAGATTATTTGCAAATTCATGACAGACTTGCGCTAGTTTGTTGATTTCTTTATCGAGCTTATTAACTTTTGTCATATTATTATAAGGTTATCTTTAAAAATAAATTACATTAGATTTATTTCATGGTGTTCCTATATATTTGTGGCTATCCGATGCTAAAGTTAAACTGTTGTATGTCCTTTGACTTATTCAAGGATGCATGTACTGTTTCAGCTAATCTATCTTATACTATTTGGGATCTTTCTTTGATAAATTATTGCAAGTGGATGCTACCACAACTTATCTCTTGGTTGTTTGCGGGTTGTGTTTTGGTAGAATTTGAAAGCATTCCTTTGTAGTTTTTCTCTTTGAAAATTTCTTGGTACTTAGAATGATCAAGGCTAATTTGGAACTAAGAAAATTAAACATTCTGGTACATGGAGAGTGTACAAATGATCTATTTATACCATTAAACAATATGGGCGCAGCTAATTCTAACGACTGATTACTTAATAAGGAGAGCTGCACCCATGTTGCTGCATAACTTTGGCCATTAATTCTTCCTCACTTTTGTACATTTGTTCTGTTTTTAAGGACGTTGCAGTTGCACTATATTTAAATATACTGAATTTTAAATTTTCATCTTAATTAGCGAAAAAAAATATGGTTTCTCTAATGCAGGCGTATGCCAGCATGTCAGCTATTGTTCATATTGTTGACCTGGGGAGTGCTATGAAGGAATCATATGCCAATGTTACTGTGAGTTCACTTTCTTATATTAAATACTTCAGTTAAGAGATTTGCGCAAATTCTCAAGCATATGACATGTTTTTACATATTCATACTGTTACTGAAGATGACATTATTTTTTTTTCAGTAATTTTATTTATTCCAGTAAAATTACTGATCCATTTCTTTCAAGGCTGCTCATGAAATGTTTTGTTATTATTTGTTATAATTGTGAAGCCATTTAAGCTAACCAGTTTACTTTTTGCTGTGTTTGGGGACATAGGATTCCGTTGAAGAGCTTTCTAAGTCTTTAGGATTCTCACCAACATCTCTTTTAAGAATAATTTAAGTGATCACAGAAGTTAAGCTTGCTACCGAGCCCTTAAGTAAGAACAAATCCTCAAACATCTTCATGAAATCCTTCTTAATAGTATCACATATCCGTAAAGAACTTGATAGAAAAATCATCTGGATGAGGAGATTTGTTAGCACTTAAAGCACATTTTGTAGCTTTAATCTCATCCAAAACAATAGGAGAATCCATAATATGTAGAATAGAAGGATTATTAGTTGAATAAAATAATCTACTTAAGTTTTTCTGAGAAATTGTTGCTTGAAGTGAAAATGAAAAACATCATTGTAGTTTTCTTGATTAGTTGTAAGATCCCCTCTAACATGAATGATACTAGATTTAACCCAAACCTTGATAGGAAAAACAAATATGATTACTAAAAGCAAATAAGCGGTTATAATAAAAAACACTTGAAAGGAAAATCACAACAAATACAATATAAACTCATTTAGGGCTCGATCCATTGGAGGGTTGAGGTCGGTTTGGTGATCGAAGAGCAGAGGCAGGTGGTTGAAATGGGCTGGAGGCAGTTGTGACAACAAAAGGAGGGACTGGAATCTTGTTAGCACGGAAGCGGAAGGCTTGGTCAGCAGGGGCAGCAAGTGGGGTGGCAAGCGGTGGGAAAGGCTGGAACCGCTAGAAAATAACAAGTTTGCTGTTTTCCGGGTGACGACAACAAAGGGCGGCTGTCGGGACGGTGACAATGATGAAAAATGAATGGAATGGGAAAACTGTTGTGAAAAAGAACAAACAAGTGTTGTTTAGGGCGACTGCAACGATGAATGATGGTCAGAAGCATCTTGGGGAAGATGCGGAGGGTGATCAGGAAGATAATCACCACCTGGGAGAAAGATATGAACGGATCACCACTCAATTCTTCAGATACAACTCTTGACGGGAAGAGAACGGATATTGGCGGTTGTACTAAATAAAACATACAAAAAACTAACCTAAAACATAACAACTAGCATATATAGTTTTAGGATAAAGAGGAGTGGGCCCACTCAAAATAGGAGGGAACCGTGTGCAAGGAAGGAACACTCAATACTTCTACCATCTGGACCAGGCTGATTGGCATGCATCTTCGACTTCCGACATCAAGGCACATTCGCTGGAAAGCGTCCCCAACTTCCTGCATCAAGGCGCATTCGCAGGAAAGCGTCCCGCTCCGCGTCAATCTCCCGGGGTTAGGGGAGCTTTAACCTCATCCGTCAAAGCTTCTGTCTCCTCGTCATATGAATTTAGGTTGGCCCAGTTGCAGATAACGAAAATGACATAAACTTCAGAGAAGTCATATGAGCGTTGTCATTTCAAAGCACATCATGATAAAATAACTGTCCATCCTCTCTTAGCACAATTTGAGTTGTAGCTGCATATTGATGTAGATTTTCATATGGTAACTCTCATGCCCTTGAATTTGTAATTTGCTTCTTCCACTCCTCATACTCGGCTGGATGTATTTAATAAACAAGGCTGTCAGGAGGGGTCAACTCTGGAACAATAGCTCTGGCAGGCTTGACCACATTGACGTGTAACCACTTAGGAGAGACATCTTCTTCTTGGGAAGGATCTGGATCCCAAGGCAAAATTTTCTTTTCCACAAAGAGTTTGAGGTGGTCTCCAATAATGTGGTTCATTCATCTCATTTGATCCTCTGTTGGGGGTACACCATTGAACCAATTTTAATAACCAAATGACTTCCTACGGGCTTTCAAAAGTGACGCTTTACACGAAAACAAAAAACCTATATATATATATATATATATATATGAAAAGTTTGAAATTCTCTTATTTGGGGTTGTCCTGTGTTTGATATCGGCTCCTCAACCCCTTTTGGACATTTAATGTCAGTCCTACTGATCCTTCTTTCAACGCTTGCAAAATGGTAGTTCGGGACACCACAATCTCATACTCTACATGAATGCTCATTAAATCAGACTCACTACCTTATAGAACAGTTACGGTCAACTCAACTGAAATATTTCTCATGGGCTCTGCTGAAATTATGTGTATCTTTTCCTTATCAATTGGAAGCTGGTACTTCTTTGTGTCCTTGCATTTTTCCGTGTTTACTGTGTCATTATCTATTTTTCAAAAACGCTCTGTTAAGTGAAACATCATTCCACTTGTTGTGCAATTTGATTCAATATGTCCAATTTTGTGGCACTTGAAATACTTTCCGACGAGAATTAATTTTGGATTGTTTGTTGGCTCCACCTATTTTTTATTCAGAACTAGTGTCTTTTCTGGTGGGGTCGACTTACATTTTCTCTTGCGTGTACTTTGGATGTAAGATCCTGGGGGTTGAAACTTGGCTGTAAGATGTGGTGGTAACCTAATGATGACGTCTCTTCATTTTTGAAACTGGGGTCTGAACATTTGGTCTGTAGTGAATGGTAGGTATCGACACTACATCTCCCGTTTCATCTCAAATCAGGTAGTGATCTTCTCTTTTCCCTCATGCTGGCATAGGTACTTCAAATTTTACCACCAAAATAATGCACTCTTTTTTAACTTGCTGACGGCTAGCTTTACAATTCCGCCCGATGAGACATCCTGACGTTCAAAGACACATTCCAAGGTGGTCTGGAGTCACTCAATGAACTCGTTTAGATTCATTGGACCGTCGAATAATGGTAAATCCACTTTTACTTCAAAATTATGGTTCTTCAATTATTTCAGGTCACATCTTTGGGATAAAGTTTCTTCTTTTTTGGAATTCGCATGGTGGAAGAGATTCACCTCATTCATTCGATCTAGCAAGTCACCATTGTTGCTACGGGTGATCCATCCGGATTGCCTTCTAAAAGGTGACAAGCCTCTGTTGTAGTTGGTGGGTTTTCCACTGCATATCCTCCATAGAAAACTTCATTGTGAATTTTCATAAATGGTATCCCTTAAACCAGACTTCTTGCGATTATCTCCTTAGTGACATGATTAGGTTTTGGGTGCTGGAGGTGGAAAAAAGTGTGTAAAGGTGATGTAGGGTGAGAAAGAAAAATATCAGGTGGAGATAGGTTTGGGTATAGTAGATACAAGAAACCCTGGGATAGGATTAGAGTTAAGTAGCTTTGATACCAAATAATACTGGACTTAACCTAAACCTCAATATAAAAAATAAATATTTTTATTGAAAACAAATAGACGATTACAATTAAACACACTTGAAAGAGGCATTATAACAAAAACGATACAAACTCACACTAGGGTTCGATCTATGGGTGGTGGTGGTTGGCTAGGTGGTCGTGCAACAGAGGTAGGTGGTTGAAATGTTTGGGGGTGGTTGGGATAGCAAAAGGAGGGACTGGAATTGCATTGGCACCGAAGTGGAGGGTTTGTTCAGCAAGTGGGGTGGCAAGCAGAGCGGCGAGGCGTAGTGGGAAAGGCTGGAACCGCTAGGGGATAATGAGAAAACAACCAATTTGCTATTTTTTTGGGTGTCGATAGCGGAGGGGCTAAGCGGGGGATTGCAGGACAACAACGGATGGCTATGCGAGACTGTGGCAGCGAGCAAGAAGGGTCGGAATAAGAAAACTGCAGTGAAAAACAACAAATGAGTGTTATTCGGTGCTACTTTTGCGATAGAGGATGGCCATGAGCGTTTTAGGGAAGATACGAAAGGAGTCGGGAAGATAACCACCACCTCGAGAAAGAGATACAATTGGAGCACACCCAATCCCTCAAAGGGAGAAGAACGAACGCTAGTGGCTATTCTAAACAAAACACAACAGAAACTGACCTAAAACATAACAAATAACATATATATAGTCTAGAGTAAGAGGAGTGGGGCCCCGCTCCAAATAAAAGAAAACAGTGCACAAGGAAGGATCATCCGATCCTTCTACCACTTGGATCGAGCCAGCGACATGCGACATTTTTTGCGCTCGAGCAAGTATGGCGCTCCCACGTCGAGCATAGGCGTGCTTGCACCACTGACTTCCCGCATCAAGGCTCATTCGCGGGTAAGTGTCTCGCTCTGCATCAGTGAATTTGATAAATATTTTTTCTTCTTCTATATTTGATGATTTTTTGAAAAAGAAGGGTGTCTCTTTAACGAAATCATTTGACTTTGAATATTTAATGCTAATAAATATTTTTTTCCTTGAGATTGTTGTAGAGAGCAGATGCCTAACCCGTTGTAGCTGTTATACTAATCATGTATAACACGCTCAATAAGATTAAAAAAATTGATAGAGTTATTCAAGAAGCCCGAAGGTTGTTCTGGACTATCAGAAGATCTATAATGTAGAGCCAAAGTGATGTGAGAATGTCCCATTAGTCATGGGATCATAGATCCCATATTTACTAACAACTAGCCCACACTTCAAAATAAGCTGCTCAAACTCAACAGTGTGTTCTTCCAACAAGAGATCTTGTTGTTGTAGGTGATAAAACCTCAAAACATATCATCTATAATGTGCTGATAGGTATTCACATTGCATCTCTTGTTTCATCGTGGACTACGTGGTGATTGATGCGACTTTTTATTAATTTTATATATTCTATATAGTAACTATGATATAAATGTAAGTATACGTATCGCTCAAGTAATATAGAACTTTCTGATTAAGCGCTGATTATCGATCCCACGAGGAAGTGAGGAAAGAGAAAGCGATAAAAGATGTCTTTAGTCAAATTTCAGTTTACTACTATTAGTCCTTAGTTTGAAATATCGATT